ATATAGAATTGAACAATATTTAATTATTGTTATATTATTATTGTGACTCACGGAATACAAGAGTTAATGACATTTTTGGTCCTAGACTTATTGGGGCATTGACACTTTTCATCCTCCATAATAAAAATTGCCACTTAGTAGCCACTGTTATTGATCGTTGGACAATTTTGATCCTCCGTCAATGACGCCGTTTGTTGACCGTGAATTAGAAAGGTTTTTCTGTCTTTTTATGTTCTAATCCTTGTATTTCTCCATCCATTGGTCACTGCTACATCCATTTCTTCAAACTGAGGTTATCCGCTTCAGTCCTTTCTAACATTAAGAAACCATCTTCACCCAACTAACAATCACGAATTTTACATTTGACATCAATCTCAAGATAATGGAAACAAGTGCAGTTGGAATAGAAAGGGCGTTAGTCCATGCCTGTGGAAATTTTGTCGAGCATACAACATAACTAGCAAAGTCAGGAATATCACACAACCCCTCCCTTAACCTTTCTGCATCAACTATAATAGGTATGCCCCTACTCTTTGCTTCCTGCACTACAATCAAAGCAGTCTCATGCAGCCTTCCATCTAAGTAGACAATATTTACTCCAAGCGCTGAAGACAATTTTGATTTGGGTATGTAGACCCTCAGATATCATGGGTGGATATCCTGGAGTGAAATTGCACGTGCGAGTTTTTTTTTTTTTTTTTTTTTTTGGTTGTCAACAATGACATATGTGAATGGTGAGTTTCCTCCTTTGGACTTCACCATAAAAGATGTATCAACATCATCCCTTTCAAGCTCATCAAGTATTCTTTCGCCATACGAGTCATCAGCAACCTTAGATATGACCCTTGGATTAAGACCAAGACGAATTTTATCATCCGGGTTTTATCAAAGCATTGCCAGTGTTACCACCTCCTTGAACCTCAAAGCTGGTGCTCCGAATTTTATCATCCGGGTTGGGGAATGAAGCTACAGCAGCCAGGAAGTCAACACCGGCCATTCCAACACCTCAGACAATGCGATTTTTGGGGAGCGGGGGATTCCACATTTTCAACTTGAAACTTCAATGAATTTCAGGGAGAATAATAGAGTTTTTGAGGTTGTGCACCAAGTAGTTGTGGTCAAAGAGAGAGAGAGAGATGGGAAGAATATTTGTGGTCAATATGGAAGGGAGGACTTACAGGTGCAAATTCTACATCACGCCATCTACCACTACAACTGCTATTTACCATAGGAGGATTCGCTGACCTGCTGCCCTCTCTGCTTCGCCAGAACCAAAAACCACCGGTGAAGGCCCCAACCTCGCCGGATCTGTTGCTGCACTGCCAGATCTGCCTTACTGGTCCGTCGCCAGAAGGAGTTACTGCCTCGTATGCTCGCCGCCGTACCCACAACTCGCCGGAGAAGAACCTCGCTGCTACTCACTACCGACGGTTACTACTTAGCCGCCAAGTCTCGCCATCTCGCCTCACAGGAGTCACAGCAACGCTGGTCTAAACAAGATTAGAAGAATAAGACATAAAAAGACAGAAAAGCCCTTCTAATTCACGGTCAACAAACGGCTTCATTGACGGAGGATCAAAACTGTCCAACGACCAATAACAGTGTCTACTGAGTGGCAATTTTTATTATGGAGGATGAAAAGTGTCAATGCCTCAATAAGTCTAGGACCAAAAATGGCATTAACTCCGGAATACAATACAAGAATATTTAATTATGGTTATATTATTATTGTGCCTCACGACCATTATATACTAACACTACTTGAAAAGAAACTAATAATAATAATAATAATAATAATAATAATAATAATAATAATAATATAATATAAGTGGTAATAATAATATCTAAAAGTAATAGTGTTAATAATAATAGTAAGAATATTAACGTAAGAGTAGTAACATAGAATAAATTGTAATAATTAATAACTATAGTATAGGATTAAATTTGAAATTGTCAAGAAAGATAAACGACCTCTGGTGAAATTAACTCTTAAATAATTATATATCGATTTAAATATTCTTAATATATTACAACAATTCCATTCCGTGCATCGCACGGGTGAAAATACTAGTCGTATTAAAAAGATCATATATGACGGGTTGAATAAAAAAAATATTAATGAATCCTTTGTCAATTAATAAGATGTCTTTTTAAAAAAAAAAAAAAAAAAAAAAAACTCATAATTTTTTATAAGGCTCCATCATCGGGATTTGAACATATGATTGTCCATTTAAAATGATAACTGAGATGTCATCACAACATAGTAAAAAGCATAAATAGTCAATAACAGCTTCATTGAGGCTCAAATCCACAACTTTTCATATGGGAATCCAACTTTGTACCATTGAACTACGAGATTTTTGATTACATTTATAACTTTAACACCTAAATTTACCAAACTTTTATGATGTCCTAAAAGTTGTTGGAAATTGAATAGCTATACCAACCAATTTGCTGTCTCTCCGAGAATATAATTGAAATAATGAAAAATGACACTTTTTATCGCTGAGTTATATGCTTATAGTACTTTTTTCCTTAAGTTATTCATGCATCCATATTTACTCCCCTCAACAAATTATTTCTACCCTTAAATGGACATTTCCCTCATTTATGCGTGCTGACTCTCACACTTATATATATATATATATATATATATATATATATATATATATATATATATGCGATTTGATTTTTACTTTGAACCGTCGGTTCACGATTTCGGATCCAATTTGAACTGTTGATTCAAACTTTCATTTAAATTTTATTATTATTTTTTTAAATATTCTATTTTCAACAATTAATGTATTTTATTTTTTCAAATTGTGGTTATAATTTGTTGAAAAAGAAAAAAATAAATAAAATATTTATTTTAAAGGTAAATATGTCTATTTAACATATCAGGAAAAAAAATAGCACTTAAAAAATTTAGAAAAAAAAAATACTATAAGTATATAACATAAGAAAAAAAGTGTCATTTTCTCTTGAAACACTGAAACCCCATTAATTATTCCCACAAAAAAAAAAAAAAAAAAAAAAAAGTACCGTAGACCGACTAGGAAGTCTCCTAGCCTCCCAGAGTCCCAGGCCATTGTTACTCTTTAGGCAATAATAATAATAATAATAATAATAATAATAATAATAATAATAATAATAATCTCACCGTACTTGTATCACTACTACAACGTACTGAACGTAGCGATTCATTTTCAATTTCATTTTTATTTTTGAAGTATTATTTTATGATATTTAATTCTCAAACAATGATAATTAAAAGAAATTATTTAGTCTATTTTGTGTTCTTGATTGAAGAGTCACATTTGTGTGAAACCATCTCACAGGTTCTTATTCTTGAGATGGGTCGAGTCAGGTCGAACCAACATGCAAATGTCATACTTATATGTTCAAATGTAATACTAATAAGGAAAATTTGTTTGTTATTTATAAGGGAAAATATAATAGTTTTGATGAAAAATGTAATATTTTTACATTTTAATGTAAAAGTATTACATTTTCTTTTATAAGTAACAAAAAGATTTTCCTGATTAGTATTATATTTGAACATATAAGTATAATATTTATATATTACTTTGACTTGACCTGTTTCACGAATAAAAATCTGTGAGACAATTTCAGAAGTGTGAACTTTTGTTTTTTAAGATTTTGGAAGTCTGTCGTAAATACTAAACAAGTTTGGATGAAATAACTAATCTGAGGATAATTGAGAGGAAAATAGTGGAAACATCCATAATTAATTAAGAAGAAAAATCAAGCATTTCATTATAATTCAGGAGAAAAGTGATATTTTCTCTTTATCACTCACAGTATCTTCTCTAAGTTTTTCATTCTAATTTTTTTCTTCACATGATATTATTTAATTAATTTTTTTAGATCACCATAAAAACTCACAATTATTACCAAGAAATTTAGAAAGAGATAAACATTCCCCGCCTCAGGGACTTAGTCTAGTAGATGAAAAATTTTATTTAAACTTGTTCTCCATGACAATGTAGAAAAATAGTCTGACGAAATCGAAAAACCTATATTATATAAAAAAAAAAAAATTTTTTTAAAAAAGGAGAAGCATTTCCCTATCAATGTAGGATGTGTTTGATTCATGAGTTTACACACTAGGAATGTGAATCAAAATCATAGTTAGTGTTTGGTTGACAACTTTTTAAAACAAAATTACGAGATTTGATTACTCCATTCAATTAAAAATCCCATTCCCTTATTATAAAAATGTATCATTCCATCTTATTTGTAATCTAATTTTTAAGTTTGGATTTATACTTTCAGATTTTTGTTTTGATTTCTTTTGTTCATATTGATGCTTTGGATGTCATTATATTAGGATCAAATACCTTGAATTTTTATTTTTATATTTTTAAAACATTTATTCCCATTAGACCATTATAAGGTCATACACAACTAAAAATCAATATTAGTAATCATTCAAATTTCAATATACTACCAAACATGTAAAATATTTTCACCAAAACAGATTATTATTACCAAGTATTTGATTATTATTCCTATTCTAATTCTCATATGTGAACCAAACACACCCTTAATACTCCATAGACGTTCTTTAAAAACGCTATTGCAGAGCTGCCTAGCTCGGAGCAATCTCTCCGGCAATGGCTACTATCACTCTTACTTCTTCTTCTTCTTCTCCTCCATCTCCACCAACTATCACTCCTGTTTCTTCTCCTCCCTCTCCACCCACTATCTCTTCTATTTCTTCTCATCGTCAGCTTCTTGGTCCTAATCCTTTTGTTGATAATTATTTTCCGAATGATTATTCGCCTCCGCCTCCACCAACTACTCCTCTAGGTAAAACTTTCTTGCTAGCTTCATCTTTTTTTTTTTTTTTTTTACTTTTCTTTTTCCAGCCTGATTCAGTGTTTGAGTGGAGTGGTTTACCATGTTTTCTGGCTTGAAAGTTTAGTTACCATCTTCCAGCATTAACCTGATTCAGTGTTATATATGATGCAGGAATTTTTTCTGGAAAAGTGATTATTATTATTGGCATTGTAGTTCCAGTAGTCATTGGGATTATACTACTTGCAGTCCTTTATTTCCGGAGAATTAGAAATTCTAAGAAACAAAATACTAAACCACAGACAACAGGTAAAGAACCTGCAGATTGATTGGGATCTAAGTTAATTTCTGTATTCTTGTGTGTTACAATATTTGCAATGTATGATTTTGTAATAATTCCTATCTTTTTCCTCCATTCTTCTCAAATTTCACCCCTATAACCAGTTGAGGCTGTTGAGCTGTTCATGGGGGCCCATCTTTTTTCTCCAGATGTGAGAACTAGGGGGATTTCAAATGAGGAGTCCTTGGAATATGATTTTGCTACTATTCAACATATTACCAATAATTTCTCTCCTAACAATAAGATTGGTGAAGGCGGATATGGTCCAGTATACAAGGTAAAATATTTGACTCAATCTACAACATGCATTATCACAATATATATATATATATATATATATATATATATGTGTGTGTGTGTGTGTGTGTGTGTGTGTGTGTGTGTGTGTGTGTGCGCGTGCTCATTTTAGTAGTCCACCCTAATTGTTTCTTGAGATATAACTAATTAATACTTAGGGAATACTTCCTAACGGACAAGAAGTAGCTATAAAAAGGCTATCCAAGAGCTCAAGACAAGGAGAAAAAGAATTTAAGATCGAAGTTGAAGTAGTTGCCAAGCTTCAACACAAAAGTTTAGTTAAACTATTGGGATATTGCTCCAAAGGAGAAGAAAAGATACTTATCTATGAATATGTGTCTAATGGAAGCCTTGACTACATTTTATTTGGTAAGTTTAAGACTTCAAAATTTTCAATTTTTCCAAAGTTCCATTATTATACTTAACCCAAAAGGTCATTGCCCAATGCTCGTTGTAATATGGGCAAATATTTTGGTATATATATTCAGATTCTGAGAAACGACGTGAATTGGACTGGTCAAAACGCTACGAAATTATAAAAGGAATAGCACGAGGATTACTTTACCTTCATCAAGATTCTCGTCTTACAATCATACATCGTGATCTCAAAACAAGCAATATACTATTGGATGTAAATATGAATCCAAAAATAGCTGATTTTGGAACAGCAAAAATTTTTGGTATTGATCAAACTCATGGATGTACAAGCAAAATTGTTGGAACACAGTAAGCCATGCATCTTAACCACATGCATTTATCTGCACGCATCCTTAGTTGACATTTACATTATATTTAGGTGTTGAATTCATCAAAAATGCCTTTATTTGAAACACTATAGTACTACTTTTAATTATATTTCTTATACTATTGTTGCACTGATGATATATTGCTTTGTAGTGGTTACATGTCTCCGGAGTATGTAATGCACGGAGAATTCTCTATGAAATCAGATGTTTTCAGTTTCGGTGTTATGCTTTTAGAGATTATTAGTGGAAAGAAAAACCTCAACACTTGCCAAAGGACAAATAATAGAGCACAACACCTTCTTAGCTATGTGAGTAAAAGCTTTCATATAATTAATTGAATATATCTATTTTTCTATGTTTTATGTTTGTTTCATCATAGAGGATTAAATATGTTTATATTTTTGCTTGAAATCCTTCATAATTAATATCATGTCATTGCCAACTTATGAACTTCAAAGTGATAATGTTGTAGGCTTGGGAACAGTGGAGGGATGGCAGACCACTAGAAATACTAGATCCAATTCTCGCGGAGTCGTCATATGTCAAAAATAAAGTCATTCATTGTTTGCACATTGGTTTGTTATGTGTTCAAGAAAATGTAGATAAAAGACCTACAATAGAAGAAGTGGAGTTTATGCTTAGAAGTCATTCTAGTAATAACTGGTCAGCACCTCGTGTACCTGCATTTTATCATAGTGAAAGTGGCCGTGAAGCTGCCGAGAGAAATATCGGTAATAGAACTGTCTGACGGTGAGTGAAGCGTCAACAATTGTTGAACTCGGTCCAAGATAAGGTGGCAAATATATTTTGTTGAAGGATTATTTGGCATCATAACGATTTTCAGAGTTAATCAAAACAATTAAGTATAATTTATTTTGATTAGTAATGGTATTTGGCATTCAAATTGTTTGGTCCAATTAATGGTGTTTTGTATTTTGTCATGAATATTTCTTTACTATGTTTCAAAATGTATTATTTCTTCTACTTGTCAATATTTTTGGCTCCATCACTATCTAGATAATCCCCACCTTTGGGATGAGTGTGTTGTTAGTCATTTACAAATCTAAACTTGAATGCTTTTAAACCTATTTGAACTCCTACATAAGCACAAATGAATATTACCCCACCCATAAAACACCTAATTATTATTGTGTGGATCATATTATCAAATAATATACATTCAGTACACAAATAATGTACTTTTAATATATTAAAAATGTACATTATATTTAGGGATGGCAACGGGGCGGAGCGGAGGCGGGGAGTATACCCCGACCACGTCCACGTCCACGTCCGTCCACATTCCTGGCGGGAAATTGAACATATTCCCCATCCCCGTCCATGTCCCTGTCCCCGACAGGGAATTACATACATTCCCCGAAAATTTCCTACATTCCCATCCCCGTCGTGGAGGGGGCATATTGCCATCCCTAATTATATTCAGGGAAAGTACATTATTTGTGTATTGAAAGTACATTATTTTGTATAATATAATATACATTCAGTACACGAATAATGTACTTTTAATATATTTAAAATGTACTTTTTATTATGGTTCATATAGCACTCTAAGGAGTATGGTCCACACAATAATTTGCCTAAAAACACCCACTTGATACTACACGTTGGGTACTCGAAACTCATACACACACTCTCTCTCGGGCACCAGATATGGGGTTTTCAATACTATGCAAATCCATTCAAATAAGTATTATTTTTTCTACCCAAACGTACCTAATTATCAATTACTTGAACTCGTCTTATTAGGGCTAGATAGAGGATTTAGTGCTGGTTATTACTAGACCCATTGTCATCCATAACTAGGTGTAGTGTATATGATTGTGTGTTTTTCCTATAAACAAGGATTTTGCCCGTTGTCCCCATACTGCACACATAATAGTCTCATAGTAATAATATATATTCTATCATTTAGTTCCTTGCATTGTTGTTATTATTATTTTTTTTTTGAATGCTACTAACTCTATTAGATTGTAGTATTTGTTCATAACTTCATATACTTTCTCAACCTTTCAACCTACTGAAACACAAAGAGCTAATAATGCCTCTACTGAGGCTCGAACTCACAACCTTCCAAATGAAAGTCCAACTCGGATACCATTGGACCACATAGTCCTGGTGCATTGTTGTTATTTGATCCATATATCATATATGTTGAACTAATTTTCGAATTTGCTTAAAACTTAAAAAATTTAGTTTTGTAAAGTACTATATCTAAAATAAAAACATAATAAGTGTGAATGAATGTTATACCCTTCATTTATGTCCAATTTTTCCATTAAATTTTTTGATACATTATGCTATAAAAGTTGTACCATACAATATTTTGGACAAATATACCCCTACCGTTATAACTTCCGTTATCTTTTCCACTATTGTTACTATGCACATGCATCTACCATATATTTTCTTATCTTCTTCAACAACATCAACAACAACAACAACAACAACAACAACAACAACAACAACAACAACAACAACAACAATAATAATAATAATAATAATAATAATAATAATAATAATAATAATAATATACACATTATATATTGGAGTTATATGTTAGTTATTTCTTAAAATTAAATATAAAAATTAAATTTATAACATTATTATTATTATTATTATTATTATTATTATTATTATTATTATTATTATATATTATTATTAATATTATTATTTAAACATCTAAAATTTAAATAAATTTAAAATTTTAATATTGGGCACCTATGTTTTGCGCATCGCGCATAAAAAATACTAGTATACTCTATAAGTAACAATGTTGGACAAAGTCTCTGTCATAAAATTTGGTAGAAAGTTAAATTTCGTCACACTTTGGAACAAGGAAAATACTACTTGTACTCCCAAATTCTACGTCCAACTTTTACATACTTTCTCTCACAAATTTTGAATGTATAATAGATAACTCTTGGACCCACAAGATAAAAATATCCTATCCATGCTTACCATATCAGAAAATATAATTGATAGAGTAGATGATATGATCACACATCAGCTCCACAAGAGATTGTGGAGTGGTACTTAAGTTGGGGCCAAACAGTGGCGGAGCAACCCACTGCCCCCCCTCAACCCTTCGTTCTAATATGTAAGTATATGTATAAATCACAAAAGTGGTCAATAGATCAGTGGATTGAACTTTGAATATGATATGGAGTGTCTTAGGTTTAAAACCTACCAATAACATTTTTATATGTTTTAGACTTTTACTTATCTTTATTCTAACTTTTCAATAAATTAAATGTATTCTTTTTAATTCTACTTTTTTTTTGCATGTATATTTTAGCTTCTTTTCTTTATTTTAGCTCTCCTTACCATTCAATAAATTAAATATTTTTTAAATCTACTTTTTTTGAATCATTTACTTAATGTAGTCAACAAGTTTATATTATATTTCATCGTATTCAAATTAATTCAAACAGAACTGTGAAAGATGCAATTTTTTTTTAGAAGTGAGATCTGGAGTTAAATACGCCTCCACTCACATTATTTTCTGGCTCCGCCACTGGGGCCAAAGCTCCACTCATGAGCTAGCTTTTGTGATGGAGTTAGTGTCCTGGCTTGAGTACCGTATCAGTAGAACAAAATGCGTTGTCATAGGTACGGTAAAACATGCTAACTCTCGAGCAGAACATTATCTTATAAAGAATCATGAAACACTAAATAAAGTTTTAATTTTCATGGATCTTCAAACCTCTATCTTGAAGCTTCGCCCTCGGTAGCTATATAAAATTTTTGATTTTTTATTAATACTGATATGATCAAACGTTTACCATTACGTTAAAAGTTATAGTTTGTGAGGAATGTGTAATTATATTTCATCGTATACAATAATCACCATGATTTAATAACATGATGTTGAACTTGACTCCACTCAACACATTATTAAGTAAAACATTTCATAAAAATATTTAATTTAAAAAGCATTTGATTAGTACTTCTCAAATGTAATCTCGTACGCTATGAACTAATATTCAGTAAGGTACAAGAACGCCATTAAGATATTAAATGAAACAAGTGTTACGTCTTCCCAGTCTCCATTTTTGCTCATCAACACCTTCAATTCATGTCCTAAATACCATATATGGGTTGAAGCATTGAAACCTGCAGCCTTCAAGAGCTAGCTTTTTTTGTGGATATATGATGTGTCCATATCCTTCAAGTAATCGGTAGATATCAAAATTAGTTAAAATATATATATTAAAAAGTCAAGCTTAAATTGCAAAAATGAAACTAATCTAATACTTATTTAGATTAAGAAACAGTATTACGTCGCGTTTGGTTGGAGGAAATTTAAATTACATTCTCAATTAATTCCCACCTAATTCCAAAGGCCACTAAATTCCTTAGTTTGGTTGAAAGGAATTGCAATTCCCTCATTTTCATGGAATTAAAATCTCATGTCTCCCCATGAAATTTTAATTCCATGGATTTTAGGAAGAAAAAAAGATAATGATGAGACAAAATTATCATCCCTTTTTTTTAACCTAAAATGATGTCTGATAACAACAATGGACATTTTGGACTTTATACTATTTATTACCTTTTAATTCTCATGTATACCAAATATTGGAATTGAAATTTCCAGTAATTTTATTTCTGTAAACCAAACACTAGAATTTAAATTCTCACTTTATTCACAGTAATTCATCTCCCATAAAATTGCAATTCCTTTCCAACGTAATTTCCTACATCCAACCAAACGCCTCATTAGTATTAGCAAGAAGTAATGAGTGAAGCCCATTAAGAGGGGATTCAAAGATGTGTAGACCAAGCGGCAATCATTATTGTGTGGACCATATTTTGTATACTGTAAAATAATGTACATTCAGTACAAAAATAATGTACATTATATTCAGGGGATGTACATTAGTTTTCTTCTGAGTGTACATTATATTGTATAATGTATATTCGATACAAAAATAATGTACATTTAGTATATTAAAAATGTACTTTTTGTTATGGTTCACATAACATTGTATGGACCATGGTCCACACAATAATTTGCCGACCAAGAGGTAAGTGGTTAGGTTCGTGTACAATTTAATCTGTACGTGTAAAGAAATTAAACTATCCTCAAAAACTATAAAAAAATATATGGATCTCTGTATACTTTTACTTTTCAGCACTGCATTTCAGTTTATTTTTTAAGTGTTTGGTTGCATCTGGAAAACTATTTTGGTGTGTTTGATTCATTTTCTGAAAAATAAGTAAAGGTGTATAATTAAATATTGTAATTATTTTATTTAAAATATAAAAATATTTTTTATATTACCACGGTTTGAAACCAAAAAAAAAAAAAAAAAAATTGGATTTTCCATCGAAACCATAGCTGTGGTTTCCGGCGGAACTGGTTTATGCAGAAACCATAGCTATGGTTTCCGGCGGAACTAGTTTCCGCCAAAACCATAGCTATGGTTCCGGCAGAACTAGTTTCCGCCCGCCGAAACTGGTTTCTGCCAGAAACTTTTCGGCGAAAACCGTACCAATTCTGCCGGAAACCAAAGCTATGGTTTCTGGCGGAAACCAGTTCCACCAGAAACCTTAAAAAAAAAAAAAAAAAAAAAAAAAAGAAACATCAATGGGTTTCCGGCACGAAAACCAAAATAATAATAATGATAATAATAATAATAATAATAATAATAATAATAATAATAATAATAATAATAATAATAATAATTCACTGGGGTACCGGTTTCAAGCGGAAACTAGAGGTCTGGTTTTCGTCGGAAACCATGTGCGGAATGTGGCCACCGAACAATACACATGCTGAATCTGCGGGAAATTATTATTTATTTTTAAATATAAGGATTATAATACTATGGAATAAAGGTCAAATAGGCTACCGAACAATACACACAAAAATGCAATTAGGTCATCAAACTAAAAAAAAAAAAAAATTATAATTGGGTCCCAAAAAAATTATAATTGGGTCTCTGAACAACACAAAACGATATAATTCAACAAAAAATGACTTGTTTACCTATTAGTTGCTGACGTGACAGTTACTATATTAAAATATATTTTTGTATTTCTATTTTAATACTTTTAAATAATTTCTTAAAACAAAAAAAAAAACAAGATTTGTCATCTCGTCTTTAGGTTGTTGGAGACGAAGAACCAATCACCAGATTGTTCCAGAACACAAATCACATAAAGAAAGACAATCTAAATCCATATTTTAATCCAAGAAAACAACAGGAAAACAAGACAAAACATTCCAAGTTTGGGAGCTAGAGTGAGAGCCAGTTACCTTAGGTAGTACATAGACGACTTGGTTCGCCGATCTCCTAATATAAACACAAGATATTGATTCAAAGCTACTCATATGAGTGTAAAACAGGTTTGGATAACAAGTCCTATCTAGTAAGGTTGTTAAAAGGTGTATCTCACACCTAAATTGAGTATTGACCGACATGTTAAAAAGCAGTCAGATTTTTGCATTGGTTGTTTAATGTGTACGTCTCAATAATGTTAAAAGATCTAGAATGTCTGAAATCAATGTTTTCTTCAACATATCACTGTACTTTTAATTATTAAAGAGGAGCCAAAAGCAGTGCTCCCAGCATCAATTTGACAATTTTCAATCCTTATCTCTACTAGTTGTATCATAAGCTAGGGTCCACCTAGATAATAATAATAAAAAAACTTTATTTTCTTAATTTCTTTCTTTGTTTTTTTATTCAAATAAAATTAATGTATAACAAATATATCATTAGAAAGCTAAGCTCTAACATGATATTTTAAATGAAGGTGGGTATTGTTATGTATACAAGATAATGATTTCGGGTCCATCTGCTACATCAATATATATATATATATATATATATATATATATATATATATATATATATATATGGTCATTTTAGTCCATTTTAATTGTTTCTTGCTAACTAATACTCATGAAATGCATGCTTATCATCGGACAATAAGTTGTAAAATGACTTCCCATAAGCTCGAGACAAGGAGTTCATCAAGAGTTCAAGAATGAGGTTAAAGTAGTTGCCAGGCTTCAACACAAAAATTTAGTTAGGCTACGAGGATTTTGCTCACAAGGATAAGGAAAGATACTCATTTATAAATTTGTGCCAAAGATGACTATTTTTTATTTGGTAAGTTTCAGACTTTAAAGTTTTTATTTTTCCATTATACTTAACCCGAAAGGTCATTGGCCCACACTTTGTTAATTTGGGTTTTTGATATATTCAGATCCTAAGAACAATATTTATTGGACCGATCAAGACGTTACCAAACTATAAGAGGAATAGCTCAAGGAGTATTTTACATTCATGAAGATTTTCATGTTACAATCATACATTGTGATTTTAAAACAAGCAATATATTATTATTAGATGCAAGTATAGATTCAAAAATAGTTAATTTTGGAATGTGAAGAATTTTTAGAATTGATCAAACTCAACAAAGTACAAATAGAATGGTTACGTTGGAACATAGCTATATATGCATCTTAATTCCCGACATGCTTTCATACACGTATTGTCAAATAGACCGAAAGGATAGAATTTTACAGATACATTAATTATTAATACAGAGAATGAATTCAATCTAAAAGACAAGATTTTTGGCTGTCAAGAGGAACAGAAAGCTTGGAATTTTCTTTCCACCACAAAAAAAATAAATAAATAAATAAAATAAAAAGCTTGAAATTTTCTGGATGGGAACATTACACTCTTGTCGTTTTGAATTTGTGGCTCGTATCCACATTGAGAAAGAATATCGTTTCGATCTTCATTTGTTTGTTGAATGAATAATAAGGAATAATTTATTAAAAAAACAAAATATCCAACCATGGGTGGGTCTCACTTACCAATTGCGAAGATTAAATGTTTATCACAATGTCAAAAGTTATAACTAATAGCGAATTCATTTCCTTATATTTGTATAGCAATCAACACCATGTTTCGATAGCATGATGCTAAACTTGACTCTCCACGTCATCGCCTAACAATGATTAAAAATGTAATATTAATTAGATAAGTTAATTGTTATTCATGAGAAAAATGTGATACTTTAATTTTGATGAAAAATGCAATATTTTTAAATCAAAATATAATATTTAAGAGTTGAAGAACAACTTATGAGAAAAAGTGTAATAATAATCATGGATAAAATAATTGATTATTACTTATGGGAGAAACTGTAATAATACTTATAAGGAAAAATTAACATTTATTAGGAAAAATGTCATACTTTTAAATCAAAATGTAATATTTAGAGATTGAAGAGTTACTTAACAATAAAACTATAACAGGTCATCTGGTTGCAATGAGTGAATTAAGGGAGAAATGAATTGTAATTCCATAGGAAATGAATAAGATGATAATAAAGTAGTAATTTAAATTCCATTGTTTGGTAAGCAAGAATAGAATTACTGATAAATTAATATTTTTTAATTACAGAGGGGGAGAATTACTGATAATTTCAATTATAGTGTTTGGTATATATGGGGATTGAGATTGAAAAAGTGATATAAAGACTTAAATACCCTTGTGTATAACAACAACAATAATAAGCAAAGTCAGTTAATAATAATGATAGCCAATGCCCTTGTGGTGTAGCAACGCCAAGTTGCTATATGGGAGAGCAACACAAGACACATACACATGTTACAAATTCATACCCGATACAAAAAACTCACAATATAAGACATATACACATGCATCAGGGTCCACACTGCCCTATAAACACTGGTCGACCTGGCAAATATTGGGTGTGAATCACGATTTTTCAATAGAGATATGCCCCGAATCTCCATTATTGCTCATCATCGTTCAATTCCACTAACGCAACCCATTAAAAAAAAAAAAATCATAGAGAGTATATCGATGATTGGGATTGGATGTTTTGTGTTGGGCTACGAAATGCTCTCCTTCTTCTTGCTCATCATCACCCTCTTCACCGGAGCTACTTCCCGTCCCGTCGTTTATTGCTGCCCCAACACCACCACTTACACTCCAAACACCACTTACGCAACCAATCTTAAGTCTCTCCTCTCCACTCTTTCTTCCCATGGCAACCGCGAAAATGGTTTCTACAGCTTCACTGCCGGCGACCACCATGACGCCGCCGCGTACGGCCTGTTCTGGTGCCGGGGCGATATCCCAACCGCCGACTGCGAGATGTGCGTAACTCAAGCTTGTACAGATATGTTGTGGCTGTGTCCCAAAGAGAAGACTGCCATTGCCTGGTACGATAAGTGTATGTTGCGCTATTCGGATGGGCCTGTATTGGGAAGAGGCGGCGATGACCGGTTGGACATAAGAGTTTTGTGTAGGAGAGAGCAGAAGCGTTCTCAACCGGCTCCGTTCATGCAGTGGATCAGAAAGACGTTGGAAGAGATGACCGGTGGACTGACCGGCGGCAAGAAATTTGGCACTCAAGAAGTTAACTTCACCGGCAGCGAGTCTGATGAGACGATAACGATCTACAGTCTTGTGCAGTGCTGGCCGGATATTTCAGACTCGGATTGTCAGACATGCTTAAGAAGTGCAATCCAACGACTGAAGGAATGTGGGAATTCAGCATTGGGTGGTAGAGTACTCTTCCCAAGCTGTAGTTTTAGGTATGAGACGTACCGTTTCTACCTTGGAGGTACGTGAATATACATTAGTAAATGCGATCTTTTGATCTTAATTGGTAAATACCTATAAAGAAGTAAATCAGTCTAAAGGCGGAGCTACATGGGTGGGTAGGGGGTGTTTGCCCCTCCGATGCATTGTGGTCGAGACATCAAATATGCACTGCAGTTTCATTTCAATATAACTACAGTATCATTTTGATAATTACAGTTTCGCTACACAATATACACTGAAATATGTGAAATTTTTATTCAATTTCATTTTGTATACATTGCAGTTTCATTTCAACAGAACTACAGTTTCATTTGATAATATAATAAAAATAATACGTAAGACAGTGTCAGTTTAGATACACTGTACATTCTTTCTTTTTTAGCTTATTTCTTTCCTCAAAATTTCAATAATAGAAGACATCAAGTATATATCTAATTTAACTTTAAAAGTTTATGAAATATATACTATTTTTTTTAGTACTATATATTGAGAGAATCAATACCGCCCCAAATAGGGTTCAAACTCATGACCTCCTATTTGAGAGAGTTATTTCATTCTTTCAAAAGGTTGAACCCAACCCTAATGAGAGAGTTATTTCATGTCACTAAACCACAAGGTCATTGGCCAGATATATGCTATTTAGTTATTAATTAAATAATGATTTATTACACTTTTGTAATGTGTAGATTTGCTAATTCAAAGGATTAGTCTTGGAACTTGAAAAACTCATGTTAATATTTTTTAATTTGTGATTATGAGTTTCGTCCTCGTTCCTCAAATTTTGAAATATTAATAACCAGTAAAATGAATATCAATTAGTTATCAAAAAAACGATGCCAACAAAATAATCCAAGCAAGGTTAAATAGAATTACATTTATAATGGTATACATTTTATGTTGTGTGAAATACTGGCTCAAATTAAGTAAGCCAATAGGTCGTTTTCATTGAAAGTCGAGTTTGTAACATTGTGGTTGAAATGGTCATTTCAACCTCAATGGAAACTTATTAAGTATGCTAAACTTCTGTTTATATAATAGATGATGCAGGCAACAACGGAAATTCTTCTTCAAAAGTGATTTTTGCCATTGCAGTTTCGGTCATTATAGGAATTATTATACTCTTCCTTGCAACCTTCTCTTTTGTGAGAATTAGAAATGTGAAGAAACGAAATGCCACAACAAAGACAACAGGTAAAGTACCAGATATCGATTGGGATCTAACTTTCTCTACACTATTTTCCGTTCGATTTTTTGCAATTTAGAATTTTGGTACCTCCATCTTTAATGTAGATGTGGTTGGATCTTCAGCTGGGGAGTTCTCGCAATATGATTTTGTTACTATTCGAGCTATCACAAATGATTTTTCTCCCGAAAATAAAATAGGTGAAGGTGGATATGGTTCTGTATACAAGGTAAACTCGGCCACAATACATCTTTGCCTTTGTAACATCAATATGCTCATTTTAGTCCATTTTAATTGTTTGATGATAATAACTTGTACTTAGGGGATGCTTCCTATCGGACAAGAAGTAGCTATAAAAAGGCTCTCGAAAAGCTCAAGACAAGGAGATCAAGAATTCAAGAATGAGGTTGAAGTAGTTGCCAAGCTTCAACACAAAAATTTAGTAAGATTACTGGGATTTTGTTCACAAGGAGAAGAAAAGATACTTATTTATGAATTCGTGCCCAACAAAAGTCTTGATTACTTTTTATTTGGTTAGTTGCAAACCATAGAACTTTCAATATTCCTTTCAACTCATCTTGAATGGCCATTGTTAACTAAACACATCATAATTTTGGCATATATTCAGATCCTGAGAAGCAATGTCAATTGAATTGGTCAATGCGTTACAAAATTATAAGAGGAATAGCACGAGGATTACTTTACCTTCATGAAGATTCTCGTCTTAGAATCATACATCGTGATCTCAAAACAAGCAATATACTATTAGACGCAAATATGGATCCAAAAATAGCTGATTTTGGCTTGGCAAAAATTTTTGGAGTTGATCAAACTCAAGGAAATACAAATAGAGTTGTTGGAACCTAGTAAGTTATTATGCATCTTAATTACATGCATTTATGTGCATTCTTAGATGACAATATAGAGTACATACATTTAATTAGGTGTTTCATTATTTGAAACACTACTTTTAATTGTATTATATTCCTTAGCTTATACTAATTAAGTTGTTGCATTGATGATTATATTGTTTTGTAGTGGTTACATGTCCCCTGAATATGTCATGCAAGGAGAATTTTCGGTGAGCTCTGATGTTTTTAGTTTCGGTGTAATACTTTTAGAGATTATTACTGGAAGGAAGAATCGCTACTACTACCAAATAAATCAAACACAGAACCTTCTAAGCTATGTGAGTATAAACTTTCAAACTGAATACTACACCTATATATTTTCCGTGTTAAGTGTGTTTCATAATATTATTATGTCATCATGGCCAACTTATAAACATCAATCAATATGATAATAATAATGTTGTAGGCTTGGGAACAGTGGAGGGATGGCGAGCCATTAAAAATAGTAGATCCAACTCTCGAAGAGTCTTATGCAGCAAATGAAGTTATTCAATGCATGCACATTGGCTTGTTATGCGTTCAAGAATATGCAAATGAAAGACTTACAATGGGAGAAGTTATGTGTATGCTTAATAATTATTCTGCTAATAATTGGGCAATACCTCATGAACCTGCATTTTACGGTAATGGAAGAAGGAGGATGCCAAGAGAGATAATGGAGTTGGAGCAATCTATGACTGTAAATGAAGTATCAATATCTGAACTCTATCCAAGATAAGGGAGATGGCTATGGATTATTGGATTATTGGATTATTTATAGAAGAAATGATTTTTTTTTTGTTTGAGTTAGAACGTTGATAAAGTAAAAATAAGTCTAGACTTCTAAGTTCATCTTCAAGAAAATTTTGAATTTATTGTATTTATTATAATAAAATAGGTTTACAAACTTAATATGATTGGTTGAGAGATTATATATTTTTAATTTAAATTTTAATAAATTAATACTTCTCTATCTAAATTCAACTCTCTCTCACATAAATTCATTTTTTTTTTATGTAAACCACAATGTGGTGGTCTTTTGGTCTTTCCCTGTCCGGCCGCTTAACAGTTCGGTTAAGCTGGCCCAGAGAGACCCGAAATTCTCCCCCACAAAGAGAGCTCATTTGCCACTTGAGCTACCCTGTTGGGTTTCTTCCATCGATATGATGATTTAAAGTGAATGTAAATTTTAAGCTCATATTACTATATAAACTATGATACATGATATAAATTTCACATTTATCATTGATATAACCTCATTTGAATATATCCTTATAATACTATCATTATAATTTATATTATCATTGGCGAAAACGTCACTTTTAGCTCCTTTAAAAATTTAGTCTAAGTTAATTTTAAAAAATTTAACAGCCTTAATTGTTCATAATTGTTGCATTTCTAATCTCTAGTATTATATAATTGTCAAACTCTATAACATATGAAGTTATGTTTATCATTTAGAATTAATATTCACGGTTAAAAATGATATTTGCATAGAGAGAGTGAAATTTTAACCATGAATATTGATTCTAAATCACAAAAAACCTCATAAAAAGAGTTTGATAATTATTTAACACTATAGATTGAAGTGTAACATAATGAACAATTAAATGATTAAATATATGTGGCTAAATTTTCTTAGATGTTCTTGGGTGATAGTATTTATGAACCTATGTGCCTAGTTCTTTAATGCTTTAATATATTATTATTTGAATTTTCTCTCTCTAGCCTTGTCTAGGGTTTTCTAGGTTATCTTGGCCGATTCTCTACTCTTTCTCCGGCAATCATACCGGCATTTCATTTTGTTTCCTGCTTGTGAGTTACTGCATGGAGTCGGCGGCTGCAGAAGGGAGTGTGGCGAGGCTCACGGCACGGTGGGCCGATCTTGTGCTTGAGGAGGAAGAAGACCAGGTCTTCGATCCGACGGGGGGTGCTAACGGTGGTGAGCAAGGCCACGAGGAACAGACATGGGGAATTGTTGGTAGATTCTTAACCAACAAGCTTATTAAAGTAGAATATATGCGGCAAGTATTGCATCCGTTTGGCAACCAATCCGTGGGGTTCAGGTTTTTGAAATCCAACTAGACCTATTTCTCTTTG